TTTCTTTTTAGCCCCTGAACTTTGAAAACTTTTGCTATTACATTCATTAATGATATTTCTTCACAATTAGGTCCCCAATTTACTTTAATGCTCTAGAAATTTTGGGGCATTACAGTTTCCTAGCATCAATTCTATACTTGTAGTCATTTATGTTTCAGCATGAGTTATTATAGTAATTTCATGTTGAATCTTTATCTTTATCTTCTATTTGAAGGGGTACTTTAGCATATTTATGTAATGTAATCACTGCACCATTAAAGTTGTATTATGTATATGGTTTAGTGAGTTCAAATCTTTGTAGGTGTGGGATCATATCACTATGGATATGTGTTACTCCTGCTCCTGTATTTATTAGGATAGAAATGTTATGCCATTCCTTCCCATCATAATAGTCTTCTTTTATTTTGAAATGCCTTGAAGAAATCTTTAATGTATCTAACACCACTTCATGTTTTATACTAGTCATTTTATTTAAGACCTCTTTATCTTTCTTAGGATAGCATAAAGCTCATAAGTCTATACTATTTCTATAGCTTGGTTCAGGCTCTATTTTCATTGATAGTTTTCCTGACTCATATGCCATTAATCTAGGTTTTTCTCTTTCTCCTATTAAGAGTGGTTTCTCACTAATGTCTATTTCCCATTCCTTGGCTAGTTCTATTTCAGTGATTATTTTCGGTTTTTGAATTTGTCATATTTCAAAGAACATAGGATCTAGTTTAATATATTCTTTATCCTTGAAAAGATTAGATTGACGACTATTTGTCAATGCATACCTTATCATATAGTAAATACTGTATGGCATTGATCCATCTTTCATAAAGTTTTCTCTAGCAAATTCATGTGCTAAACTTAGAGTTTTATTAATATTTCTATCATTAATGTTTACAGTATATTTTGGATATACTGTAAACATTAGTTTTTGGTAACTAAGGTTACCTTGCACTAATCCAAGGATAGCATCTTTTCTATTATTGATTTTATGGTCTATTAATGTTAATTTTATAGGGGTGTCTATCCCTTCCCTAAAATGAGATTTAATAAGTATTTGTATTCCTCCTATGTGGATGAAACCTATCTTGGATCTATTAGTTTCTTTGATTTTTGACAATTTGCTTTCTATTTCTGCCTTAATAATTAAAGGTATATTTGTTATCCTTGTTGTATTTCTTATAGGGATACTATATTCTTTTGTGGATATTCCATAATAAACTATATCTTTCCTTTTAAAAGGATTACTTATAAAGGAATTGGACTTGAATCCCTTTTCTAAAGCAAGGTCCATTCTCTTTTGTCTAATTCTTTTATATTTACTTTTATAAAATACAGTTATTTGACTGTATTCTCCATGTCTTTCATATTCTTCAGAATAAGCTTTTCCTTCTTCAATATTCGGATTCATCACCACTGGAAGTGTATAAACTTTCAATTTCGTATATACTTTCTTCGCTACTTATAGAGTTAGTTTCTATTTCACTTAATTCTTCATAAATTTTTAGGTTTTTTGTACTTTCTCTTTTGTATCTTTTAGGGCCTTCATTTGCATAATGTCCTTCCTCCTTACACAACTAGCATGTGCATTTTTTAGGATTCTTTTTATATTTTCTTGGAGTTTTGGTCTTATTGAAATACCTCTGTTTCTTTCTAGAGAATTTGTTTGTATTAAATCTTTGTTTAGTACTTCTCTTAATTCTAAATTTTTTGTTTCTCTTATTGTAGTTGGTGTAACTGCCATCCTAATTTGATTGGATCACTCTTCTTAGGGCAACAAAGTCCCTTTTTCATACTTTTTCTTAGTTTGTTTTGACTATAGGTTTCTATGCACCATTCATAAATTTTGGTTTTAGTAAACCAAATCCTTAGTCCTAAAGTACCTTTCTTATTTTCTACATATATTCTGTAGGCTTCTACCAATTTTATTCCCCAAGGATTAGGAATTTTTCCAAAGAACAATTCTAATAGGCCTTTAGTCATTCCATGATTTGAAGCCTTGTAGTAGTATTTCTGGAATAGGCAAATGTATTAATCTAATTCACAAAGATTACATAGTTCTAAATTTTGCAAATTCCATACTGCTATTCTTCCAATTCTAGCCTCTTCTTTTTCTTGATTTTCTCCCCAATTTTCACCTAAAAATTCTCTCCTTATGGCTGATTCAAATTTATTTATTATGTCTTGAATTGCTTCATTTTCATTAACTTCTTCAGAAGTAAGATTTCCACTTATGATAGTGTTTCTCTCATCTTCTTTTAGACCGACAAACCAGTCGTGAACTATTCCTTTAAATGTGACTCCAATAAATCTAACTGCTTGTAAGGCATTCTAGTTTTCATTTGCTATGGCTATCCAAGTAGCTTGAGCCCAGTCACTAATGACCTTTTTTGGGTTAGTAACGCAATCTAGATCTAATCAGATACCATTAGTACTAATCATTTGTTCTTTGACTCTAACTGGAGTCTCAATTTTAGATTGATTTCCAAATTTTCTACTCCTTTTATCATAAATTACTTCATGTGTTAAATTCCTATTCCTTTTATAGCTTTGGCTTATGCTAGATTCTATACCAGGTTGCACTGGAAATTCTGTTAGGGTTATATTAGGATGTGTTTCATCCTTTTCTTCTTTTTGAGTATTCATTTTCATGTTTTCAAATTGTTTAGTAGTTAGAGTAATCTATTTGCATAGGTTGTCTAATTCTTTTTTATTTTCTTCCTCTAAAAACTTTGGTTCAAGTTCTTTTAATTTTTCCTCTTGGGTCTTTAACATAAAAAGTGTTATTCCTTTTGATTTAGGTTTTTTAGTGAAAATCTTAGGAATTGTTTTAAATCATTCATTTCTATCTATAATATTACGCCTACTACAAACTGATATTATAGTATCTTGCAGATTCTTAAGCTGTGTCTGGATCTTATAAAAATTTTTATTTTTATCTGTATCACTTTCTAGTTGTGGGATTATTCTATTATACATTTCTAAGCTTTTATTATTCTATTATACATTTCTAAGCTTTTATTGCAAATTTTTTAGCAATCACTTTTAATATCTTAAGAATTTCTTCTACTTTAAGTTCTATATTTTTAACTCGAGATATTAAAGTTTTTGAGTCTTTGATAAATTGTATTTCTTCTTTTATTTCTTTTAGATCTATAGAATTTTTTACCTCATTTATTTTTTCTTTGATAGAATCAAATTCTAGAGAAAGGGATTTTCCCATTTCTCTAATCTTTCCTAAAGTTTTTTCATTGACAGCTTCCATCTCAAGAATTTTATTAGTGATAATTATGTCTCCTGTATAGATCATGCTTCTACCTAATGTATTGAGTGGATACATGTTAATCCAATCTATTTGTTCTTTATTTATGTTAATTTTAGTATTTCAACAATTTCTCTTAATTTTTTAATTCTCTATTTTCTAAATTTAATTTGTCTATTATATAGTTGTATTATTGAGTTTATTCTTTCTTTTTCTTGGATTCTTTGCCTTAACTCAATTAAAAGGCTTTCTTTGATTTCAGCTAGGATTTCTTCTTTAGAATGAACCACTTGCTCAATTTGGTTGTAAATGTTTATTATAGTTCTTGTATGTGAAGCTATATCTATCATTAGAATTTATTGGGACTTTGCTTATTACTTTTGTATACTTTGAGGACTAACTACTTAGTTTTTCTTTTAACTGAGACTTAACGTCTTCCGTTAGCCTAAGGGTATAAATCCTTATACTTTTAAGTTCAAGGTTATAAATCCTTATATTTTTAAGTTTATGGTTATAAATCATGCACTTATTAGTTCAAGGGTAAACTCCTTCAAAGCTAGTAAGTTCTGGGGCATTTCGAGTATTTATGCTAGTTTTTCAAAGGTAAAATATTATAACTAGGTTGTTCAGCATTTTGTCCACAACTTTAATCCATGGACTTCCCAAAAAAATACCTGTTAATAGTGCTTTATTTATGGGTGAAGTATATTTTCATGCAATTTTTTAAAGGGCTAGTCCTCTAGCTAACCTGTTCACTTGCCCATACATCATTTTCTCCGTATTTGCCCCTTAACTCTAAAATTATACATCCTTCTTTCTGTCATTTCAACTACAATTCAACAAAAAAGCCAATTTGCTTGTTGTTCTGTTTTGATTGATTCTTGAAAAAATCCGTCATTTTTAATTATTCGATTATCTCTTTTGAAAATTTCACCTTTTTTAGAAGCATTGTGCACTACTTATAGACTATTTACATATTGTTTCTAGTTTGTTCTATACTAGTTGTTAGCTTTTTGTATTGTTGTTGCCCTATTCAAATGAAGGGCAAATGTTGTAAAAGAGGGGGATTTTGATTTATTTGCATGGATGGCTACATTTTTAGCTAACAGAGGAGACATAAGCAGTGACAATGGGAAACAGAAATGAGGAGAAAGTGTGGTGATGATGAAAAAGGCATGGAAAAGGTGTGATTTTCCTCTCTTATTTGCTTCTACTTACTCTTTTCTTCTTCCATTTCTACAATTCTCTTTTCTAGTGCTTTCATATGGTTTTTAGCCCATCTCACATTTTAGTTTGTTCATATGTTGAGTTTGTATTTGTTTCGTTATTTTTTATTTGCATTTTGATTCTCTGATTGTTTATTTGAGTTTGATGGATTTTGCTCCAATCAAATGGAGAGGAGGATTTGAGATGTAATGAGAGATGGAAAAGGAAGGGGAAATTGGGATAAGAGCACAAGGGAATTGATCAAGTTAGGAGAGGAATGGGTTTGGGGTAAATAAGGATGAGTGAGCAAGGGATTCAAAGGTCCACAACTAACTAGAAGTGGAAGGGTGTTGATGATTCTAGGTGTAGGACTTAGGAATTTGAGCAAGTTGAGAAATCCTTTTTCAAGTAAGTTTGATGACATTTATCCTTGAGTTTTTCCTTAGTGCTATAGCATTGGGGATTTAATCTCAAATTGAATTAAAACAAAATCTTTTTAGGGATTTGCTAATAATTTCTTTAAATTATTGTTTCTATCAATGAATTTTCATTTTAGAGAGCCTGTGAATATATTCTTTTATAATATAATTAAATTTTTAGTTTTAAAATTGGTTTTAGGGGAAATTTCAGTATAGAATAATGTAGGAGTTAATTTGACGGTTGGTGCATTGCCTATTTTATAATAGTTATCTTCTATTATCTATTTTTTGTTTTCTGTGTTCTTTAAATATGGAGTTATTTAGTAGTTTTTTGCTTTCAACTGATAATTCAATTTATGCTTCCCTTTGAAGCTTTGAGATCTTTCTTAATTTATGCATAAATTTTGATTCATTAGTAATAGGAAAACTAGCAATAAGAACAATAAGAACATCCAAGGTAAGCTGGTGGATAGGTTTTCCTTTTTTAGTTTTTTTGCCTTTTGTAGGATTTTACTAATTGTTTGACATGAAATTGGATGATTGGAATTCATGGAGATCAAGTCTTTTTTTGGTCGATGGAAATAGGGTTTTAATCTTGTGATGCATTCCATGTATTGGAAGAAATAATTATGTTAAAAGCTATGATGCTCTGATTGAGAATACTAATTCATTTTCAATATTATTTTTTGGCTGTGCTAAATGTGTTCATCACCCCGTCTATGATATGTACAGATCATAGTGCAGAGGGAAGCAAAATAAACATTTGAAAGGGAGAAAAAATGGCGCTTTTCAATCAATTTTATATTAGAGCTGCTTGAAAATATTTTTGTTTTGGTTTATGGGTAATTTGAGACTATTTTATTTTAAAAAAATTCAATAAAAATAATAAATCTTGAATTTAAAAATGGTTTTAATCAAACTCTTACCTCTAAGTATTTGTGATAATGCTAATTCTTCATCTTCCATGCATATAGAAAAAGTTTTATTAGTTTATATTGTCCTCACAAAGCATCAAATCACTTTTCCTTAAAATGTTTTCTTTTGTTTTGGATTAATCTAACTCCTTTTTATGTGTAGGGTAGATTACAAATTCATTGACACAAAGAATTACTTTGAGCAATCTTCAAAACCTAAATGTGTGTAACCTTTAATTGAATATAAGGTGAAATATTATGTCACTTAAATATTAAAATGTTTCGAGTTGTTGTGTTTGGTT